TAATGATTAACAGAGACCAAAAAAAGGCTAAGGGCTTACTATAATTACCAAATACGAATTATGTACTAAATCCAGATAAACCGATGACTGAAATTTCCTCTATACTTATAGACATTTCTCTGTTCAGCTATTATCAAATGTTTACATTTGCTAATATTGGGTCAGTCCTAGACAATACTGTTTCTTTTAAAAATCTTATAAACAAGACGCGTAGTAACAAGTGAATCGGTACAAAGTGTATCAACGTTTACAAGAAAGGACGAACATTACAATATTAAAAATTTGTTATAACCGTGCTCGATTGTGAAGAGAGCATTGCATTGAATAACAACAAGAGAGAGCATGTACTGAGAGTAACGATTTGCTTTGTTTCTTGACTTGACTGTAAGTAAGAATGTTCTTGTAAATTCAAGACAAATAAAATAAACAATAATTGGCAAGTATTTTGAACGTAACAATTCGCAAAATTTATGTTTTTAACAAATATTCCACTGGAAGCATGTTTATGTAATTTGATACTTTCCCCACACACCCTCAGGTGCTAAATTTTTGATGATGCACATGACCAGCTGCAGCCAGGGTCTTTCCAAAAGAAAGATCCTGGGTACGAGGTTGGCAGCAATGTTGGAGTATTGATGCCTAAGAGGCAAAATTAATCATGTACAAGACAGTTCCACAGCTGACATATTGCCATTTAATATGGCATTTTAGTCGGGCATCTGATAGACGCAAGTTGGAAAGAGTACAAGAAAGGGCCTTGCATGCAGTTTTCAACTCCAAAACACTTACGTATGAAGAACTACTTGCAAAAGCAAATCTTTTCCACGTTATATCACAGACTGGTGCAAGATATTGCCATACTAATATTCAGTGGCGTAGCTAGCAAAATTCGACAGGTCCTGCTCTAAAACTGACACATTCTAGGGGGTCCGGAAAATTTTTAATTTTAGCAGTCTGGAATGGCCATTTCCTGTGATTTCACAGCGAAATACTCCAAAGAGAACATCAAAAATTGTGTGATTTAGTGGAAAATTTTTGAAATCGTATATCCATATTTATCATATTTCACTATATATTCTTCAACTTAAAAATTTAGCTAAATATAGTCAAGTCATGTAATTAAGAGGAAAATCTCATGTTTTCAATACACGTCTGTAATATGATCTTTCACTTGGTCAACGTGCAATTGCATAACTCAACAATTGTTGTAGACTTGGATCAAATCCGTCTCTCTACAATTGTTTAGTGCCTGTTGAATTTACAACACTATATATACGGCTAGCATTCGTTAAAACATCACTAATGTGTTAATAAACTATATTAAACGGAGTGGTATCAACTACGAGTCTACAAACCACTATGCTTGGCACTCTGATTGTATAATTCAGTACGCTATGTGTATGGTTAATATGGTATTATGCGTATGGTTAATATGGTAATTATGCGTATGGCTATGGTATTTAATAATAAAATTGCCGTAGCATTAATTGAAATATAGTGTAAAATGCGGCCAAATATCTACATAAATAACAAACTTTGTAAATCTAAATTGGTAGCTATATCATTTTTAAACTCCATATTAAGCACTCGTGTTTCATGCAATGCGTAAAGCAGATGAACTGGCAAATAATACGTTCATACTTTATATCAATACGACACAAAATACACAATCGATTCTGTTGACATGCATTTTGTGAGCTAAAATATCTTAGCAGAAGCCAGAAATTATATCTAAATCACAATGGGCTTCCACGCTGGTGGATTTACATATTCATCACTTGAGTGATCTTGACAGAATTAGTAAAAAGTGGGTTTAATCATGCAGAAAGCTCGCAAGTAAAGACAATACAAGGCCAAGTCCTGCCATTTTGAGAGAGCAGGACTTCGCATTTGTAAACAGCCAGTTTGAGCATGCGCAGACCTAATTATCCAATCAGAAACCAAGATTTCTTGTATGAATTTACTATGAAATATGCTAGCAAGTCCTGCCATTTGAAAATGGCAGGACCGAAACACGAGTGTGTGTAAATCAATTTATTTTTCACCCTGCTCGGTTTCCTTTGTTCTTGTCGGGGAATATATTCAATATTCCCCTCTAATCAATTTCCGTTTAATAATCCCCTCTAATATTCACCTGCAATTAATAATCCCCTCTAATATTCACCTGCAATGTCTTTGCAGCACAAAAAATGAGAAAAAAACAACATTGCGAAGGCAATATGGCTGGCATCAAGAATTATTTCTTTTCTGACTCATTAACGCGACCTCGCAGTGTGAAAAATAAGTACGTTATTTTGAGGCATCTTGGGGATATGTGTTTATTCACCTCAGAGAATAAATCACATATCCCCTCGTTGCCTCAAAATAACCTATACATATTGCCCGGAAATGAGCTTTTGTAGAGTTGCAGTTGCTAGGTAACAGACACGGCAAGCTGTAAAATTGTGTAAATGTAAATAGAATACGGAAAACTTTTAAAAAATAATAACGAAAAAGACGAGAAAATGATACAAAATAACAATATAATAAATTTTTAAAGCTTCAAGGTAAATAAAGTAATGTTTTAGTAAGGAAATTTGGGGAAATTTTTAGTCCTACTGGGCAGGACAAACAAGACCTCTAGCTACGCCACTGCTAATATTTAAAATTAAAAATAATCTTGCTCCCTCATATATTCATATATTCAGATTTATTTTGTACTAATAAGACTAGGACATATAATTTAAGAAATTCTGATTTCAGAATACCACATTTTAATATGGTCAAATATGGAAAACACTCAATTAAATACTTAGGGCCTTTTTATGGTCAAAGTTAAGCAGAGAAGTTAGGAACATCAGTACTTTTCAAGAGTGAAATTAGGAAAGTTGACTTTAGTTTTTTAGAGGATGGTGGTTGTAGAAACTGCTATGTATGTAGTAATTAGGGATTAGTATTGTAAATTTATCTACTCGTAGCTAGTATATGTATACTTTTTTGTATAACAGTAGGTTTTAATCTGTGTCCCCAATTAGGGTGTTAAATGCTATACTATAATGTTTTGACACAATAAAGTTTCTTATCTTATTTTATGGCAATTTTGGTCAGCGCTATCGAAACCCAAGTACTGCTAGAATAGCTATCTACCAATTGGAAAATGGAAAGAGAGTAGATGCATCACCTTAAAAAGGCAAAGCGACAACGACTTCAGGCAACAACGGGGGTTTCTCATGTCAGCATTCTGTTCCAATTGTACAAGTTGTACCAGTTCAATCCAGTTTTGGACATGAGCATTCATTGAATTGACAAGATGTGGGTATATATTAGAGGGAATGCTGACAAGAAGTCAATGCTAGAGATCCTGAAGTTGGTGGACTTTTTGTTCATTAAGAGTTCAAGCATTCCTTTGAGTGTGTTAACTGGACTATGGAAGAAAAAGGTGTTGCTGGAATAAGATCATTAACAGATAAGCTAGGAAGTTGGAAATCAAATGAATTTAAAAGGTACAGTATAACATAAGTATACAGTGTGTATAAAAAAACTGAACCCTTTCAAATTAGCTATAAACCTGAGATCAGGCTCTATTTTATTTACAAGCCTGATCGCAGGTTACTCTGCTTCAGACCTATGAGATTTCTGGTAGTGTTTAACTCATTCCCATCCGGTCAAAAATGAGCAATTTCGAGTGATGTTGTTTTAAACGCATATATCTTTCAAAGTATACATCGTATGAGAATAGAAATTGCATCGTTCGAAAGAGGACTTCCGCTTTCCAACGATACCAATTTCATCCGGAGTTTGGTTAACGATTTACTCACATAAATTTGCATAAATTATGATATAAAAAAATGTTGCAATTATGCATAAATGTGTATCTACCGGTTCAAATTTCAAATATGTCAAAAAATTTTATGAATGTAACCGAAAGACACGGTTGTGATATACAAGTACCTGAAGTTTCATGCATGTAGCATAAATGGAAGTATTTTTATTGAATTTTTGAATAAACTATGTAGTTAAGTAAAATTTACATTTTCTGCTCACATGAAACAAATACCCTTATCAAAGGTCCTTTTTCATTTCTGCAATATACTATCAATACAAATTTATAATATTTTTTTCACTCTAAGGATAGTATGGCACCAAAATAAGTCTGTGATAGCCACAAAAGAACACTCAAATCACTATTTGCAAAATGTCTTTATTTCTACGGTTACTATATACATTCTTAGATAATCAGTACACCATTGACTTATAGTTATCAGTGGCATAACCAGCCTGAAAATTTGGTCATGCTATTCAAATTTTACATAATCATTGATTGTTTTCACAAACTAGAACATGAAAATATTTGCATATAGCATGACCAAGTGTTGTTAGCTGGTGTCATCATTAGTAGTTAAAAAAGTAATGTTTTCCAAGGCACATAATTGGATTATGTGGTGAAAATATTTCCTTTTTTGCACAAAATATATATTGGACAGCAAAAGACCTAAGATTATAACCAAACTTTGGCCCGGTTTAGACGGCGAACTTTTCATGTGCCGAATCTAATTGTCGTAGATATGGCAAAATATTTGCAACTGATTTAGACGTCGAACTTAATTGTGCCGTACCAAATTGCAAGGACACTATATTGGAAGTTACATAAAGTAATTAACAAGTTTTTGGCACCCAAATTCAAAATGGCGGGATGGACAAACACACTAAATTTGCAACTAATTCGTAAGAATATTGCCCGACGAAACAGACAACGAAGAGCAGTAGTTGCTTTAATTTATGCTACATGGAGACAACGTGTGGTGATGTATACTTGTTTAACAACACTTTTAATTCTGGCAAGTGTTGATACAACACCTGTTCGTCAACGTTGTTGTCGTTGATTTGAACGAAATAACGGCTGGTGGGCATTGGTGTGGAACCAGTACTCGGACAAGCGATTCATTAAAACTTTTAGAGTCTCAAGGCCAACATTTACTTTCATACTTGATCGCATAAGACACACTATTCAGCATAAAACCATGAACAAAGAACCAATATCGCCTGAGTGTCGATTGGGCATTTGTTTATATCGCCTTGCCAGAGGAGACTATTACTACACGATAGCAGAAATGGTCGGATTAGGTGTAGCAACTGTTTGTTTAATTGTAAAGGAAGTAACCGAAGCAATTATTGCAAATTTATGGAATTTATCAGTAGAACAACACATGCCCCGAACAAAGGAAGATTTTGAAGGAAAAATACTAGATATGGAAGAACTTTGGCAATTCCCATTTTGCTGGGCAGCGATTGACGGTTGCCATATACCAATTAAGTGCCCAGCTGGAGGTCTAGAGGCTTGCAAGGAATACCACAACTTCAAAAACTTTTATTCTGTAGTATTGATGGCAATGGTCGACTCCAACTATAGATTTGTGTGGGCAAGTTGTGGATTTCCTGGCAATTCACACGACTCGATTATCTTCCAGTCAACCGAACTTTGGAATAATATAACAGAAAAAGGTGCAATTCCAAACATTGGTGAAACTGTGGGTACAACTACCATTTACCCACTTATTCTGGGTGATTCTGCATTTCCCCTACAATCATGGCTGATGAAGCCTTACACGAATGCCGTACTGACAAATGAACAGAAAAATTTTAACTATCGCTTAAGTAGGGCAAGAATGGTGACGGAGGGAGCATATGGGCAAATGAAAGGAAGATGGAGAGTTTTGATACGGAAGAATGAAAGTGAAGTAGACCAAGTGAAAACAACCGCCTTAGCATGCATAGTTTTACATAATATCTGTATTGATAAGGTTTATGTGAAAATACTGTACAATAACCACAACAATGGACTGTACTTTTTGCATGAACCTGCCCTAACATAGATGACTTTCATTGAGTCTCTAAACCATGTGCTCTATTAACTATGCTGAGACAACAAATCAACCACGCAAGCTAGGGTCTGGATATGCGCTCCTGCCTCTCTTGAATTGAGACCTTTAGTATTAACCGGTCATGTGACCCTCCGTATTTTGGTGGATTTGTTAATTTGTTTCTGGGGAGGGGATAGAAAGTATAGTTGTCAATTTGTCCTATAATGGTACTTCATTAATCACACATCGAACAAAACTAGTACCCCCTCTCAAGAGACAAATTATCAAATCCGCCAAAATACGATGGGTCACATGACCAGCTAATACTAGGGTCTTAATTCAAGCGAGGCAGGAGCGCAGATCGAGACTCTAGCTTGTGAGGTTGACAACAAATATGGATATATATGCATATACATATATAGTTTGGCATGCTTTAGTCAATTAGCAGTGAGCCCTGATATCAGTATACTTAACAAAAAATATATGTAAAATTAATTTGCACAAAAGCAGGCAAATATATTTACTGAATCAATATCAAATACTTACTAGTATTACTGCAACGAAAGTTGTTTTACTATCACATGCATTATAAACTATGATAACGAGGATTATTTTCTTGGGACATGTACTGACATTGATCTTGAGTAAAGGTTGAAGACATTCCAGCATTAAATGGCCCATGTTGCTGATGTTGGACTGCTGGTACTTGATTTCCCATCATTTGTACACTTTGTGAAGCAGGTTGAACAAACCTTTGAAGTGGGACAGGATGCTGCATAGATTGCATTTGCAGTAGCATCAAATCATGCTGGCGAGACTTTTCAGCTTCCTCTCTCGTGAATACCAGAAGATCTTTTACAGGATCTTTTTCAATAGCTTCCTTCAGTAATGTGGTTGCTTCTTCAATTGGGTTTTTCTTTTGTTTCTTTCTGCTTCGTTTCACTGGTACAAAAAGTTTCCTGCCACTTCCTTCTTGCGATGTACTTGATGTTGCTGTGGAATCATCATCACTATCCACTCCTACTGATTCTGATGATAAAGCTGAGGGTTCAATTGCCAGCTCAGGTTTGCATGCATCTCTTGTTTTAATAAGAGCAAATAATGGGTTAAACCAATCACCAAAGCCTTTGTTATCTTGAAATCGCTTAATCCCTGTGCCAGTCTTAATAGTAAGTGCAGCATTTTTGCACTCTCCAACTAATTTCTTAAACTTTGTACGAAGTTGAGGTATGGAAAATGGAACTGGCTCTTCTCGTTCGGCAGCCCTTTTCTTCATCTCTTCCAAAACGTTTGCATATATGTCACCATTTTTTTGATTTTTCATATTTATGAATAGCAGTTTCCTTTTGTAGTTCTCATTATTTATAATGATATCAACCATATCATTGATAAGTGAATCACTCCATT